CCCATAAACAGCATTCTCAAGAGGTACCACTTGCCGATTCTCAATCCGGTGCTACAAAGCGAGACAGTCGTGATAAATGCGCTAAAGATGGACTATGCTATCTTTGAGTTTGGAAATGTTATGGATAAATTGGGCAACTCGTGGTAGTATGTTTCATTAAAGTCAAACCGACTGAATACGACAAAATATAGAACATTACGAACTTGCCAAAGATTGACCGCTCCCGCACCTGGAATGCCGAGTTGAATACCCAAGCTCATTAAGCTGATTTGGCTATTTGCGTAAAAAATCCGCCATTTTGATTTTACAAAATGTTGATACACATAGTACCACTCGCACTGCTAGGACGAATCTGACAATACCTCATATGTCAAAATCCATCAAGTAGTTTGGACTGTAGCTGCTAAAATATAATTTCTTGTTTACATGCATATATACCCACCTGGGTCAAACATACAGATTTTTCAAGGTGAGGCACTTATCGCAGCAAGCTAAAATTTTCAGGGTTTATTCTACATGGATTGATAGTTTTTACAATAAAATGAATAATGAAATACAACCTCAATTTTTTTACCGCCCTTCAAAGTTGAATGGAAGAGATTTTTCACAAAAACTTCATTTTAAGATTTTTTGCGTTGATTTCTAATACGCTGTGTTAAAAAGTGACATAACCATTGCTAAAGCTAACCATTTAGCTCATCTCGAAAAAAAAACACAGCCCTAAACCTAATTGCGATTGAAAGTTCATTATCCCGTTTTTTTCGAAATTTCACAAAATTGCAAATATCTCCTGAACTATAAAATTTCGGACCACACATATAATGGTTCAGTTGGTATATTTTGAGGCCCTCTATAATCTGACTTCCGTTGATCCACTACTAAATTTACACCCATAAATACGAATAGCTAAGATATACTTCATTTATACAGGGTGCAGCAGAGAGGACGGACGTTTTTGGGTTGGGGAGTACTCTCCGCCTCCGTCTACGAGAGAGGTGGGGAGGGTGCCGTTTGACTCGTGAGATCCTAGCATTATTTTACCAGTTGTCGTTATGGAGCCTTGGACGGTGGAGCACCGGGTTTTCGCCTATGAGTGACAAAGCCCACTTTCACCTAAACAGCATGGTTAACCAGCAGAATTGTCGTTATTGGGCTAATGAAAATCCGCAACTGTTACACGAAAGACCGCTGCACAGCCCAAAAGTAACGGTTTGGTGCGCTGTATCGCAAACTTGCATCATTGGCCCTTACTTCTTCGAAGACGGTAATGGTCGTGATGTTACCGTGAAGTCAGAACGCTACATGATCACCAACTTATTTCTCCCTGAATTACGACGGCGACGTGTTCCAATCCGACGTGTGTGGTTCCAGCAGGATGTGGCGACCGCCCACACAGCCCGAGCATCCATGGACGTTATTCGCCCTCTCTTCCCTGGTCGCCTTATTTCCAGGTTTGGCGATGTTCATTGGCCTCCTCGGTCCCCAGATTTATCCATATGCGATTTGTTCTTATGGGGACACCTCAAGGCTAGAGTATACGCGAACAAGCCCCGAACTCTGGACGAATTGAAGGGCGAAATTCGCGTGGAAGTTTATGCAAAACATTCATTATTTATTACAAAATTGTTATAAATGATGTTAAAAAATAGTTTTATAGTTTTGGTAACATTTACAATAACTATGTTATTTTTAAATATAATTTATCTTAATTATCATGTTGATCTGGACATGTGGTTAAAAAACGCATAGTAAAAAAACCTTCTTCGGGTATATTACCAGTTACAAACATGGTTAGGTAATAAATTAGACCCAACCAAGTACGGATGCAGGCTAAGTGACAATGGATCTATACTATGGGCAGATTCTGACGAATAATGACTCTGACGAATAATGACGAATAGTACTATGGGCAGCTTAATACCAGACGGTACTATCAAACAAATTTCCTGCAAATGTACCACTGTTTGCCAAACGGGTAGGTTGTAAAAAACATGGTTTAAATTGCACACCTGTTTGCATAAATTGTAATGATGGTGATGATGACACAAAATGTTACAACCTTGCTGTAATTGGAATTGACGATGATGAGTTATACAAATATTCAAGAAAAAGTAGAGTACCAAAATAAAAGATTTAAAACGGACAATCATGGTTAATCACGTAATAAAATATTATAATAAAAAAATACATAAATAATATTATAACACAAAGAATGCAAATAAAATAAATATAAATGAAAGATAAACGTCAATCAATATTTTTTACAATTTACTTGAGTGTATTTTGTTAAGAGTATACCAATAATTAACTGGGTTATGAATTGTTTAAACAATTTTATTGTAAAATATAAATTATTTTATTAGAGCGAGGCTAAAAGGAAATGATTTATTGTTAATTTAATATTATTTCATAGTAATTTAATTTTGAAAAATACAACGTGTTAAGTTTTCCGGCACTTTCCGATTTTCCAGAGAAATGAAAATGTGCAAGATGTCATTATTTCAAGGAGTCACCCGACATTAAAAAAAAGAAGTTTCTAGCTTAGAAGCTAAGATAATAGAAAATTTTACAGCGCGCTCCAATTTGAAGACTCAATTTCAAAAAATAAATCAAACTAGAGCTGATTCCCCCTCCACCTCACCCGGAAATACGTACGCGAGAGCCTTCACTTTAGGTGGGTATTTCTTAAAGACCTTTGAACTAATAGCAAAATTATAAATTGGATCATAAAATTAAAATCGTTGATTAAAATCTGTGAAAACTTGGAGTCTTGTTTATAAACAAAGGAGATATGAATTAAAAAAATTATCTTGACTCGTATTGGTCGTAGAAGGTTTTATAAATATGCATTTTTTAATTACCTATCAAGATCATCCTGTTGAAATAAATTATATTGAATAATGAAAAAGTTATTGTTAATGTTCTTAACTACAAAAATGGCGATTTTTTAACATAATTTTCAACAACAATTTTGAAACAAATAATTTTTTGCATCAGTGCTTGAAGTTGAAACCTTCAAGAATCCAATTCACTTTTGTAAAATTTTTCCGCAAAAACAGTTGCTTAAATAATTCGTAAATATAAATCAGCTTTTTACATAAACCATTAATTCAAGCGGTTTAAATTTAGCAAACATACTAACATCAATCTCATTCTCACAAATATTTAGCCATTTACACTTGTTATTGCAATAGTTATAAACATTTGATCAATATTGCTGAAAAGCCTCGTATTTGACTTAATTGTTTATAGATTTTAATTCTTAAAAAATAAAATTGAAGGTATTTTTATGCTCTAAAATCACCAGTTTACCGATTATTTATAAAATCTAATTTGAAAATTATACGAGCAAAGTACTGAATTTTGAGCTTTTCGTTTTGTTTATAAAAAAAAAACAACACATATCTAGAAGTATCTTTTCATGTATTTGTCGTTAGCAAGACCTCGTTTCATTCAAAACTTTCAGATATCTGCTAAACTTTTTCAATTATTATTCAACCATGACCGTATTTTTGTAGTTAGCGGATTTAAAATTGGTATTTTGGTGCATATAGCATATAAATATAAAAAGAAAACAAATTAAGGTTCCTGTTACTGTTTTTGAAACTACCCACTTATGTACTTGACGTTACGTTAGCGAACACAAAAGCAATATATACGTCGCTTGACGCTAGTTATATGTTTGTTTCTGCATTGAACGTGTATTACGCAATATTATTCACTGGGAGAGGAATGTATTAACTTACGTGTCTAACACCTAAAGTATGCATCTTCTTTTGAAGTAGCATTTTCAACAAAAAAAGCATTTCGGAAAAAATGTGTATGATTTTTGAATTGACCGATTCAATTGAATTGCACCAAATTGTTGCGCTTCCTGGCAGTGAGAATGTTATCAATCTTTTACCCTCCAGTTCAATTGCAAAGCAGGTATGGAGCCCTTTACAAAGTGTTGTCCCCACATATATGTATATGCCAATCGGATTTGTCATATTAGGCATCTTTTCGACGTAGCACTTCGTAGCGTGTCAGTTTTCTGAGGTTTTCTGTTACGCTTTCATTTGCTCTGACCCAGAACAAAACTTGTTACAAAGAATGAGGCTTACATATTTATGCCCAAAAATTTATAGCATCTTCCAAGGTTATGAAAGGAAAAAACACTGTTCAACCATCCTGTTAGTATTCATGGAGTTGCGGAGGGCCTCCTTTAAAATGTAAATGTCTCGAAGGGTTTAAGCAGCATCTTCGGCGGGAAACGTGTACTGTGCTCGAGTAAACATTATGTAAACTCAGCGGTAATCATGTTAGGAAATTATAATATGGATTTCCTTGCAGTTAGCCAGACTACCCGGAATTCAGTTTCACCGTTATTTCTTAGGAAAAACTCATGCATTTTAAAAGATAAAATTATATGCCTGTAATCGAGTCTTTTTATATTGAAAGGATAACTAAACAGGGTAATTCAAAAAGCAATGGTTTCTTAGGTTGAAAGTATGTTCAAAGAAAATACGGAAAATTAGTTTTAACATAGGTTCTTACAGAGACTTAAGGTGTTTAGATGGATTCATGAAATCGAGATAAAGCTGTGGCTACCAAGAGAGTTGATGTAGTACGAATGAAATTAGTACTTTCCTGCTTCAAAGTACACCAGGAACTTCTAGGAAGCAACAGGAAAAGTGTTACAAATGCCATTGATTTAATCTAAAAACTTTATATAAATTATTTTGTATATGATGATAGTTTCTATTTCTGGCAAATGACTCGATTAGAGAACATTTGTTTTGAATACAGGTATTTGACGTGAAGTCTTGAGTTTAGTGAAGTTTGTCGTTGTAAAACGCATGGAGTATATTACGAGAAAGATATTAATACATCACAACAGCGGTACTTAAAAAGGACGTATTTGGGAAAGAGTATATCTAGATATGAGGAACTTTCTGTGTAGTTTTTTTATACTCGTAGAATTCATGCTCTAGAAATAATATATTGTCTCTATATTTCAGTCACGCTGTAAATTAGGCTACACAACAGGCTGTCTTATACTCCACAGGTCGCGACAATTGGCACTATCTGTTGACAAATTAACGGTTCTTAGTGAATCAGCCAATTTGACGTCGACACCTTTACGACACTTATCACAACGTCTTGCTGGTTTTGCAGAGGTTAGAAACAGTCTGCTGGATTGAGCGTATTTTATTCGAATGTAGACTAGTGAGATTTAGCAGCTTTTAATTGTACCGTTTTTATGTAAAGTATATTTCGAGTTAGCGTAAGTGGCTCTTTAAAAAATATTTTATTTCCGACATTACTGGTAGTGATTGATTTTAACTGAGTTACAAAATGTAAAGTACAATGTTCGTTTTAATGATAAGACAAAGGAAACTATCATATTGCATTTTTGCAGTTGTCAGGCGCTGCGTAAAGGTGCTTCTTCTATCTTCTAGTAGGATACAGGGTAGCCCTATATCTTGTATCAACATGTCTATCAAGGCAGTTATGATCGACTAGTGTTCGATCTGGAAGCCAATGCCAGTCATCAGCTCTTCAACTCATCGGCAAAACTTGTCTTAAGGCTACATATATAGTTGCCCCTCCACTTAAGAGCCCTCACTCTGAAGACGATTCATTTACGTTAACAGTTGGGAGTGACAGAAGAGCTGTCAAAAGGAGGAATCCGTTTAGACCTGAAGCCTTTTTTTTAATTTTGATGGGTATTGCATTAAGGAAAAATATCTGAACTGAATTTCTCCGTTTTGAAAAACAAACAATTTTTTGTAGTTTCCTGCTATTTGGTATAAAGATAACAAAAAACAAAACGATGCAGATTGTCCACTTTGCGCAGACCGCCAGGTCAAGCAGATACTTCTTGCAAAGGGAATATCAATCACAAATAGTTAAGCGCTAAACTCAGAACTTTCAAATTCTGATCATTTATGACAGAACGGATAGAATATAATGCAGCGGTTGCTTCTACATAATCGCAGCTTTATATAAATAAATTTGAGGTTTGTTGTTTCTTCCGACGGAGATGCCTGATTTGTTTTCCTGCCACTTAATTTGGGAATTCTTATCTATCAAATATATTGATCTATCTGGTGTGTTGTCGAAAAGTTTGTTAAAAATAAGTTGAATATCTTAAAACGCCTATCATGGAAATGGTATACAACTGGTATTATAAGCACAACATTTGTTTTTTAAAATCAATAGTTTCCTTAAATAATCTATTTGTTGTCATCAGACAATCAAGCCAAATTAACAGGCGGATTCTAGGTAAACGGAGCTAGTCAAGAATTTATTTGTCTCCTAATTCGCATAGTCTGTAGTAAGGATCAAAGTTTACTTGACATAAGTCAATTTTTCGACAGTTCTGTCATTAGATGCGTATCTTTAGTGTTATTTTTTAAAAGTGTTTGTGTTTGGAGATAAGAATTTGCAAAGAGCAAGAAATAACGCTGTCACCTTGGTAGGCATTGGTAAACAAATGACTCAAAAGTAGGACATATCGTCAGTCGTTCTTACAATTGTAGGACGTCTTTATGGCCTCCTTGATTCTCATAGTTTTTCTTGTCCTTTAGAAAGGCAAGGGTATTTGTAGATCTCTGCTGTTCCGTGTCCGCGGTCTAATATGTTTTATTATCCTGAAATTTCCTACAATTCAAAAAGAAAATATTACCTCACAATAGGCGAGCGCTGACGCTGACACGGAACGGTAGAAATCTAGAAATACCCATTCTTTCTGAAGGAGAGAAAATGCTGTGAAAATCAAGGACGCCATGAAGGCGTCCTACAGTTGTAGGGACGACTGATGATACGGCCATAAAACATCATAATTTTGGCGACTATATACAGAACAACCAAAATTAGTAGACCCGTGCCATTTGTAAGGAAATTAGTGTAATAACGGAGACTTTTGATAACTCCTCTCTCACCTTCAATTGTCAATACTCTCTAGCAGCGACTAATGCGTCCCTAGCAAAAGACAACTTAAGTGAAAGAGCGATTATATTCATAAGGTGTTTTCAAACTCTGAAACACAGTGTTAATATATCAATACTGTAACGATGAACGTGACGCTCCAAATGGAGGAAGAACAGTGTGTATGGCTCTTAATCTCCGAATCTCCGCATGAACTTAATATTAAGCCCATCATTTTTATTGTAGAACAGGTATAGTAAAGCCACCAGTACTACGGACAACCTTATTTTTTACTTGTTAGACATATTTTTAAATACAAATCTTCAATTTGCGTTGCGAGAAACCATCCTCGAGACTGCATTTCCCCTTGTCCTATACAATCTTTTGTCTACGGCGGCATTTCGTACTCATTAACGTCGTCCGAGTAACGCTTTGTCAGATTTATGGCCGCCTACCGCCTTAAAAATAAAGTAAAAAGGTACTAAATTACTCGAAAGCGGTAGCTGGGAGACCAGAGAGATTAGCGAAAGACCGACATTTGGACATTCCTGGAGTGCATCGGATGATAATGAGAAAAATTAGAGAGGAAAAATATTCCAAGAGAAAAGTTTACCGATATACTCTGCGTGCTTGAAATTCATTCTAGTTTTGCCTAAAGTCATGGGAACCTATCCATGATGCCATTCCGAAGATTTTTTAAAATTAATGACTTTTGTGTTATTTTCAAAGGTTTGTCGATAGAGAGATGGACAATTTGAATGCGTGTTGCTTCTCCAAAGATGGCGCCCTAATCTAAAGACGTTTTATTTTTTTGGAAAGACGAAAGCAGCCCTCTTTAGTCTATCACTTCCCCAAGAAATGCATGAGTCTATTAATTTGGCTGCGATGTCTACAAGGACTGCATTCCCCATTGAGCATTAGTTATTGGTAATTAATTTTTTCAAATCATACGATATTAAGGAGACTTTAGGCCGAAGAAGGCCACCTTTTTCTACTGTCCCTGTAATTGAGGCTTCCTCATGACACAGATGTTAAAGTAGAGGACAGACTATGCATACGACCTAATATGCAATAACTTATAATTTTTATCTATTTACACAATCTTTAGAAAAAGTATTACCAAAGTATCAATGCATAAAGAGTAAACTTTATTTGATGTCTCTTATAAATCTTGTAATGATTACAATTAAAAAATATATAAATGAAGATGTTATTTAACAAAAATAGTATGTTTTCAGTTTTGAATCCAAAATCACATCTAAATGATTTCCTGTGTCATGTAATATTGCAATATTCATTCACTTTTGTTATGTCATTTATCTAGTCCGAAAAAATTTAGAATTCTGAACTCAATCTTCCCAGACTTCTATTTTTACACTTTGCATTCATGTCTACTGGTAGTATGTTTTATGGATGTTATATGATATGTACATAACGAAAAACTGACACTCATTTCCGTCTGTCTGTCGGACTGTCCGATAATCCTATATCCGCCTATAACTTGAGAAGTACCGCTGGGGTTTTGATGAAATGTTTACACAATGTTACAGATACGCCACGGTCGAAAAAACTTGTATTTGAGAATCAATTCACTCTCCCAGCCTTGGTAATTCTACTCACCTGTTACATTACAAATGATAAAGGCATTGCATGCAAAGTGCAGAATCAACCTACTCGACGCCATTCTTTATGTAAGTATGGCAGAAGTAAATTCTACTGAATAGAACATGAAATTAGGGGAAGAAACGTAATTCTTTTGTGTTCGTTCGATAAGACACTTGACTACAAGCTTCAAGAAAACCGTCCATGCTGATCTTAAAATAACTAAGCCTAGAAAGTTCGCTAGCAGCTGAAGCTCCGTTCAAAAGTTAAAATGTTTGATCATCCCTTGAGTGCTGGACTTTACCTCGGCACTTATACCGCTGCGTATAGGCCCCCACCTAATCCTGTTACATCAAATTAAATCCTTCTTTTCTTTTATGCAATTAGCCGTAATACGGGCCCAGCAACCCTGCTCTGATGCTGTACATATACGCTACTTGATCTAATTTTGCGAATCGTCTTTGATATACGCCTCTCTGACATACCGTATGAGTAGCAGGGAGAAAGCAGGAGTTTATGAATTTTTGAGTACTTTGGAGAATTGGAGTTGCCGTGTTTGGTCAGAGGCTAATGTCTCTCTTTATTATTAAATGCGGTGAACCACTGCAGTTTGGACGGACTGTCTGAAATGTTTCGTAAACTGCTAGTTCAGTCCAAGTGAACTGAATCTCTGTGTACGGTGAAAAATGGCAATGCCAATCCTCAGCCTTTTGGAGTGTTTTTTTAAATGTATATATATTCATTTTGTATAAGTTTCCAATAAAAATTATTACCATTATTATTATTATTTGTATTTGACTGCGATTTTAAGTATTGTGACGTTTGTTGTTAACAATCTGTCCAAATATAATCAGCGTACGGTTATTAAATTTTTGTGTGCTGAAGGTTTGCAACTATTGTAAATTCATACGCGAATGCAAGCAGTGTATGGAAGCCGATGTTTTGCGTATCCAACTGTCAAGGAATGGTGTCGAAAATTTAAGAGTGAAAGACAGGAGACGAATGATAAGGTGACCAGGTAAATTGAGTACGGCATCGACAGACTGAAATGTGGCATGTGTGGAAGGAATGCTTTGGGCCACTGAAAAAGGCGTTACAACGTAGGCATTTTCAGTCAAACCAAGAAGTACAAAATGCCGTAAAAGAATTCTTCAAACAGAAGCTACAAGAAATCTTTAAGCAGGGCATACATCGATTGGTGGAACAATGGGATATATGTCTTAATTGTAGTGGTAATTATTCGTAGACATATTTACCAATAAATTTTTTCTGGACCAAAGATAGGTTTCAATTGAACAAGCCTCGTAATATGGGGATCAGAAGCCCCCCTTACACAAATCTCATAATTTTTTGCTAGCTTGAGGAATATTTTAAAAGAAATTTTGATCCCCGGATTATAAAATTGGCCTATAGAGGTCTTCCATATTTTATGACTAGTCGTCTTTAACTATCTCTGTTATCCAATTATATAAGCTCATTTTCTTGTTTAACTTAACTTCATGCAATTCGGATAACGTGAACCAGATGAACAGTTTTTCATTGTAGTTGTAGCTTGTTGAATTCATAACCGCACCGGTTATCTTCACCGAACTATACACCACTACACATCACATACATTCTCTTGGAAATTGTATAAATCTGGTGGTAGGAGCATAGAAGCATGTGAGCTCGGCTGGCGTATCTTTCACGCAAGATTTAATGCTGCCGGAGAGAAAATTAAATGAGGCAGCACACTTTCTGATATTACACTGAGGAAAATTCGCGTATTACGGAACAGCGTTGGCTTTTGCCTCACGATAAGTTATGCTGCCACAGACAACTAGCTTGCAAATTTAATACGATTCAAGAGATAAACTGGCAGCCTGATTTTCTCAGACGTACACTATCACATTCAGCTTCCTGCTCATTATGAGGCGCTCGTATATTATAAGGTCAGTTACAGCAGATTATGGTGCCCTAAATGCATGCTAGGAATGATGTGTGCTATTCTTCATGACGTTTTGGAGTTTTAATCAGATATTGATATAATAATAAAAGCCTTTTTTTCAGTAAAATAACAAAATAACACATACATAGAAAAATCAAGTAGACTGGTATCGAAGTCTAGCCGCAGTCTACTTAACCACCAGCGAGTTCACAATCAAAGAACTAAAAAAAATTAATAATATGCTACTACATATACAATAAACGATCAATAAGCTGAAAATAAATTTTACACAAAAAGTAAGCAGGCAATGGAATATACATAAATATAGTCAACGCCAAACAAAGTGGCGTGCACGTCATCAAGGTGGGTGTGTTGAAAAATTTACATTGTTGCCAAACTTTTTGTAAAATAATAAAATTTATTATTTACATATCTAGGTTTATAAGCAATATTA